CCAAAGACACTTTAGGGAGTTCGAATTAAGTGACTGGCAAACTTGGATAGCAACTAGAAAAATTATGAATAAAATATAAAATGCAAATGATTCAAGTTTGAAACTTAACTCATGACCTTGGAAACAGTAGTTGTAGGAGTGAAACAAACCTTCAGTCAAGGCGCACTTACAAGTTTTTTCTGATCTTTCAAACTAGTCCACACCCATTGAGTGCAGCATACCATACCATGACTTACTCATACCAAAACTTAGAAAAAAACAACAACATTCAGCCACAGGGGGAGCCACAGCAATTGGTCGCATTTTAGCCATTTTTAAGCATTTTTCTGTTGTTATAGCGCCACCCAGTTGCCAATTAGTGTTAAATTTCTCCAGTCACCTTGAGGCATCCTGTTCTACATATCTACCAAGTTTAGTAAAAATCGATATGGCGGTTAGGCCTAGATAAGAAGTTAGCTCTCTAGCGCCCCCATTTTGTTTGATGGGGTCAATAATGGAGGGGTCCCCTCAGATTATGTGTGGTCATATGCCTACAAAGTTGCGTGGTGATGGGTGAAACCCTTGAGATGTTATACACCTTTATGTGATGAGCCAAGCCCTCCGCAATATTCATTGCCTTATAGAAGCTCAGTTTTAGTAAGTTTTCCAACTTTTGCCAAGAGGGAACTTTAGATATAGGTCCCTAGATTATGTTCACTGAGTTTCATGCTGATCGGTCAAACTTCCTAGGAAGAGATCGATTTTAAGTGTTTTTCAAAAAATTCAAAATGGCGGAAAATCTATATAACTGGAAGTTATGGGTTCTTGAGGCAAATGTGTTCCTCATGAGGAGAGGCATCTCTGTGCAAAGTTTCATGTCTCTACGACATACGGGGCATGATATGCCCATTCAAAGTTTGCAATTTCAATCGGTTGCTATAGTGCCCCCCTTTGGCCAATTGATGTAATATTGCTTCATTCGCATCCTCCCAGAGTTTTCCTCATTAGATAAGATGCTTCCTATGGCCTGACTCAGTGGACGTAGTTTGGTCAGTTGTCATTAGGGACCAAGTCTGAATACGTTATTTTGGAAAGCACAAATGATGCGACAGAAACAGATATTTATTCAACCCGAAGTTGGTACAGAAAATAAGCTGTGATTAACATGTCTGCTTCTTCAAATCAATTAATATTTTAACATGTAGCGTGGAACGACAGACAGGAAGTAGCTCTCAGTAATTTCAGCCCTTTAATAACATTCAGCACAGAGGACAAGACCTCAAATAACATAGGACTTAGATTTCACTGAACACTCCTTTCATTCACTACACACTAATGAAAAATGATTGCTATATTCTGTAGTCACCCCCATCCAGTCAGCACACAGAAGGCAGCGTGCTATGGCATTAGCAAAAGAAAATGTCCCTGAAAGAAGTAAAAGTAGTTCTTTTACATTTGTCTAATGTAAAGTAACTTCAGTTTAAACATTACCCACTTCTAGGCTTTTACAGATACATGATACAGATACAGATAGTGATGACTCCATACACCTGATGTTTTCATGGAGATAAAGTATTGGTTTTTTGGTTTTGTGAAAACAGAGACAGCTGACAAGTGAGCAACACCCTGTGCTGAGGCTAACAGTGAGATGTGGCTGAAAGCTCTGGATAAAGCTAGTCAGTGGACTTTGAGTTAAGGGATAACTTAAAAAAAAATATTTTTAGCCATGCTTTTGGTTAGTCGGTCCACCACTTTGGCCAAGACTGAAATATTCCAACAACTATTTGGTTGGCAATAAAAACGCATATTCATAGTACCCAGAGTATAAATCCTAATGACTTGTTCTCCTAATGACAGAGTTTTACTTCAGTGCCAGGTTGACACTTACTGTTTTGAGTAAAATGTCTCACTGATTTTTGAATCGATTGTCAGAATTTTTTTATAACTTGTTTGTTGTCCCCCACAGGATGAACTGTTATAACTTTTTATCCAGCACCATCATCTTGCGAAAATGTTAATTTGTCCAATACTTTGGTTTATGACCAAATACCTGAAAAACTAGGAAATTAAACAGCTGTACTTTGTGTTTAGTACTAATGAGCAAATGTCAGCATGCTAACACTTTAAACAAAAAAGGTGAACATTGTAAACACAAGCATGCTAGCATTGTCATTGTGTGCATATTAGCATATTGAAGTTAGCATTTGGATAAACACACCCCTGTGCCTAAGTACAGCCTCACCAAGCTACTAGCTGTACATTGTTTACCAAATTCATGTGATTTTACCATGATATTCAAGACTCGGAGCTTCCGGTATAAGTTAGCGCAGTTAAGGCAAGCTAGTGGGTCAGCTAGGCTAACATAAATAAGTGATAATTAATCAATATTGAGAACTTTTATTTTAGTTTTAAGTGAGTAGAGCTGAACCTATTAGTCAATTAATCAATTACTGGATTGACAGAAATGTAATTGGTAGCTGATAATTGTGATTATTAATTGTTTTAAGTCCCTTTTCAAGCAAATATGCCAAACACAGCTTGCCAAAATGTGTGAACTCTCTGCTTTTCTCTTTTTTTATGCCATTAAACATTGAATATCTCTCGGTTTTGGATTGTTAATTGGACAAAACCAGACATGTGAATCAATACTTTGCATTCTGGGAAAGTGATGTGTTTTTCACTACACTAATATTTTACTGACAAAAGTTACCAAGGAGATAATGAGTTGTTGCAGCCTTACACGGGAACACAAGGTATTCTAACTCACATATTTAGTGAGTTTTTTTCTTACCAACCCAATCACCAGGGAAATATTGGCATTGTACAATTCTGCAAACTGCGATTCATTAAATTTGTACATTATTAATGTAGTGGATTGTTAATGTAGCACATTCTTTAAAACATCAAGTTTCTTTTTGTTTCAACAAGGCTGCAGTTAACATGTGATTAGGTTTGGCACAAAAAAACACAGGGTAATGATTAGGAAAAGATTATGTCTTGGCCTAAAATAGCCAGTGTTGAAGTAACAAAAGGCAGGAAATGCATCAATGTCTGGGAAAATTTCAAAAGAAAAAAGGTTGGGGCGTCGGTGGCTTAGTGGATAGAGCAGGCGCCCCATGTACAAGGCTGTTGCCGCAGCAGCCCGGGTTCAAGTCCAGCCTGTGGCCCTCTCTCCCCCTTTCACACTTGGCTGTCCTGTCCATTAAAGGCAAAATGCCCCAAAAAAAAGAAAAAAGGTTTTTGCTGTTCCAATAGGAAATGCAGTGCCGTCCTGGTAAAAGTGGGTGGCTAAAAATGACTCACATTTGGTGCCTAAAAAGCAGCTGGAAACACAATGATTTCTTGTTTTTGTTGTTTGTTGGTCTAAAACAGTGGTCGTCTGCAGCCTGGAATGCATCTCATCTGAGTGAAAAACCATCCACCATCCCTACCAGCTCCAAATGACAATGTCAGCTCATGTATTACGTCACTTTAGAAATAATGCAATACATAGGAAACATACAGGTGTTACATATTTGTGCTGTGCAGACACATACAATACCAACATTTTCTTCTTGCAACTGGGCTTTTCCTACTCGGAATAGCTTACATATATATTTTCCTTGACATATTTAGCTTTTGCTCTCCCCAGAAGTGTCGCAGGTAGGGGTGACCACCTGACAGCATACATCTCAACATCAACTGGAGCACTTCAGAGGAAGGCAGCGCTGCAGCTGAAACTGTCAAGGTAAACAGACAAGTACACTTGCCAGTATGAAGCTACTGACTAACAGAGCCTTTCAAAATACCATCTACTTTCCTGTGTCGCTCTTGCTCATTATTCCATTTCTCTTAGCCAATTAGATTATTTTTGCCCCAGCGTTTGGAGAGTATAACCTTCAGTCTCTTACAAATTAGTTCATTCACCATTCAATACACAGCATGAGGAAATAGTTTGTCACTGAGTTCATAAAGCCATAAAACACATCAGCATTTCCTGTTACTATTCCTGTAAAATGAGCCTACACTGCCTACCCAAGGCATACCCAGAGTAAATTAAAGTCTCTTCTTGAACCAGTCGAAGTGCATGCATGCTTTTGTAACTTTAAGTTTAAATTTCCCTTCAAGAAAGTGTTTTTGATAAATTTCCTCCTCCTGACAGAAGGGGGGTCAGGAATGATTTGAATCAGTTTTCATTTGCTGCAGCGATGGAGCTATGAACTAAAGAGAAAAAAGAACCAATCAAATCATGTTTTATTTTAGTCATGCAAGCAAACATGCTGCCTTTGCACACAGCTTCTGATACATATGCTGCGCTACGAGTGTTACTGTGGAGAATTGTTTCCCTGCACCCTGTATAATGAGCTCCACAGTGGATAGGCAGAGATGGGGGGGATACCTTGTCTTTGCAATTAAATGGGTTCAAATCTGGCTTGTGACTTCTCTGACCTCACATCTCACTCTGTCTCCCAGCATTCCTTTCACTCCTCATAATACAGTGTGTTATCTAACACTGCAGAGATGGGTGCAAAGTAGAATTTTTGTCCTCACGATGAATGCATATTGCTCCTTTTACTGTGTAAAAACATTGATTTCTACTATTCACACATAACCAAGCAGAAAATACAAGAAAACCTACTGTTACAGGCTTCAGACACTTTTGTTTGACATATAAACAACTCAATACCACTTCAGCAACAACAGCTCAGTGTGCAATGATGCAGCAGGCTGATATAACCTCTCACACTCTGATCCAACAATATAATAGATGAGTAATAGATGAGGCTGTTTAAACTTGGTGAATCTATACACATTGCATTAGTGTGATGACTCATAAAGTGCTGTTTTCCACAGCAGCCATCAATAAATATGGAATGAGAGTCGGAGGGGGACTCATTTCATTCTCATTTTGTTTGGTCTCAAGAAATTATTTATGTGCATAATTTATATCATGAATATGATTCAACAACCTGAACAAAAAAAAAGAGGGCAGACATTTCTCACTGATACAATGACAGATTTTAGGATGTTGTAGGACTTACGAGAGGACTCTCTCCAGCCGCCCTCCCGTGGAGCCGATAATTTCTCCAAGGGTACAGAAGGTCTGGCCCAGAAAGTCCTTAGTGAGGTAAGAGATAGAAGCGAGAGGATTGATAGCATTACAGGGCCAAGATGTAGTCCAGCCAACACAGAAGTACCATAAATACAACCTGCAGATAAGGTAGATAAGAGCTTTGGGTTGCTGCAATCATTCCTTCTGTTCATAATGGCCCTCGAAGCATCCTTAAGTTTTTTTAATGTAAGTGATTAAGGACATAATCCTTAGTCCTTTACCCAAGGCTGATTCAGCCATCTGTGTTAGACAAATTATAAGGATTTCCTCAACACTTAACGGCCAATTCAGACTTTCCCTGCACAGGAACTCTATGGGGACCTCTGTGTGCAGCCTAGACTGTACGTGTAGCAAGCATTCTGATGATGCATGCTCCAGTTACCGGTGATGCTTATTCAAAGAATAAGAACACAGGAGCTCTTCTTGACATTCATGAGGTACCATTTTCGCATGCATCTTCTTATTGATTACTCAGCTACACTCGTTACTGTAAGTGACATTAAACCTTAGCAAGTAAGAAGCCAATACTTTATCAATACATGTGTTCAGCAAGCATGAACATGTAAACATGTAGACAGTGATATTCAGTATGCTTCATCCGCAGTCTCTCATCCACCATCACTAACGTTATGTCTTACACAAGGACAGCACGCTAGTTCAGCTGATAGCGAATTGTTACTAATAAGCTCAAATGACAGCTGTCTGTATGTAGACTAACTTAGTTTGACACTTATCTTAAAATACTTTTTAACTTGGCTGATGGCTGAGACAAACAGCCCCTGCTCTCTACACCAGCACGTAACCAGACAAGCTGGCAGAGCCAAATACAGGGCACACGCCAAATCATCTTCGTCATCACGCTAATTTGAATTAATTTTCCGGAACTTTGAGGTGCGGTGGAAACGCAAACCACAAAGATTACCAGGAATTCTTTTCCCCAGGTAAATAAATTCCTGGTAATAAAAGTTCCTGGAAGTGCTAGTGGAAAAGGGGCTATTGTTATATCTATTTCCATTTTCCATTTCCATCCGCTTCTTTAGGGCCGGGTCATGGGGGCAGCAGGCCAAGCAAAGCACTCCAGACGTCCCTCTCCCCAGCAACGCTTTCCAGCTATTGTTATAGCTAGCATTATATCGTTATAGTTATTGTTACAGTAATACTTACAGTAATCATTATTGTCACAGTTATCATAAGTTTAGTAATAGTTACATAGTTAAAGTTATCATTATCATTGTAGTATTGCCGTTACAGTTGTAGTTTTCCTTATTGTTACAGTTATCATTTTCCTAGTTGTGTTGATATCGCTATAGTTATTGTTACAGTTATAGCTCTCAATACAGTCATCACTGTTATAGTTATCATTTATATAGTTATCATATTATTGTTATAATTATCACAGTTATCAACGTTAAAGTTGTTATTATATTGTCAGCTATCGTTATCATTAGTTATCATTGTTGTTATAGCTATTGTTATACTGTTAAAGTTATTGCTGTTGTCACAGTTATAGTTATAGTTATTGTTATGTAGTTAAAGTTATTGTTACACTTATTATTATCGTTAGAGTTATTGTTATATAGTTATAGTACATTATAGTTGATGATTTCGTCTCCCATCACAAATATTGAAATCACTTATTCAAAGGATTTCTTGATGGCCAGTATGGACAGAAGGAACAATTACAGCAAGTCAAACCTGTGTCAGTGTTCATATAGGTAAAATACTATTGAGACAAACTTGAAAAAAATGGGAACCTTTCCTTTAACAATGCCCTGCTTGATACAGCCATGGTACAATTTTTAATTTAACTCATCTATGAGAAACCACAGTGTGCTCAGTTCATTACAGATTCCCATGTATTTGAGGAGCTCTTAACCTTTTTCAATATATGAGTTCATAAGTTAGCACAGGGGAGCCACCTCATTAAAATAACTCAACATTAAACTAATTACTCTACACATTTCTGGACCTAGTGTGCTTTCATAAACATGGTTACTGCTGAAGATAATAGGCTCAATAGCAATTATGAAAGACTATAAAATCAATACGGATAGTATTAGAGATATTAAAGTTATTAAAGTTCCATTACAGTTTAATCTCATCTTTCTGAAGTGTCACTTTAAATTAAACATTAAATTTAAGGTTTAATTCCACCTATTACATAAGCATGCATTAACCCAACTAGGTCAAGCCCGAGAAGTCCTGGTGGGTTGCATTATTCAGGCGCTTGTTGACTGATTATTCTTAAAAGCTCCACACTGTGCATAAGGCAAACGTCCTCATGGTATAAAAGAAAGAGTTTTCCCCTTCAATCAGCGTTTTCATTGAACTACAGAGTTTGAAGTTTACAACCAACCACACTACAGAGAATAACATATGGCAACATAAAAAAGCAGAGCGATGACACGACACAATAAAACTCCTGCACAGCAACAAGGGCAGAGCACTATGTGTTGATGTTTGTCATGCGTGGGCGAGCAAGTGTAGGTGTGCGTACCACAAACTGAATATGTGTGTAGCTCTTGTAAATGTCCTGACGTGCACAATCTGCTGTAGTGTACTGTCTCAAACAACAACAGCTGCTTTCACTTTGAAGTCGAGTTCTGAAAGTTGCTTTACCTGAGCGAATGATAAAATGCAGACAGAAAAAATGAAGAACACAGACTACGTGGGAAGCTTTCCTGGTGAAAGCTGTTGGTGTTTGTCCTTGATGAAATGAGATAAAAGAATGGGAGGAAAATACAATAAAATCAAAGTGGATGAAACAGAAAAATTACGAGACTCTTCTGGGGACAGTGAAATAAATTGGAAAATAAAGAGCGAAATGATTGAAGGATATCATAATAACAGGACTCATGAGGATAACTGCATATTAGCCACTCACCTTCTGCTCTCCCACAAGTTGATTTGTTAGGAGGGAAAAAACAGAGTTAGTCACAAGACGGATTAAGAGTATACTAAATAGATTTATTCATGCTGATTCATCATTGGCTGCTGACCTCATTCACTGTAAATTAGCTTTAACAGTGTGAGTAATACAGTGCGAGACATTTGAGGGCTGATGGAAGTTGTCAGCGCTGAGCCAAAACTGTCATTAGAGTTCGACATACTGTACTTACATGTTTGGAAATGTTACAGCTTCTGGAGTCCACATTGTACCTACAAGAAACAAATGTAGGTGATAAGATTTAAAGAACGTGTGATGCATTTAAAGGGATTTAGTGCAATTACACATGATCCAATGTTATAGTTTTGGAAAGCAACAATATTCTTGCTTCATTTTTGTGTTGGGCAGCAGCACATAACTGAGTAAAGATTCTGCAATTATATTGCAATTGCTAATCTTAGTAATGCTATATTACCTATACCAACCTGCTATCATTCTCAGGTCATCAAATACTGACACTTTGTTATGCCCCTCAGTGTGTGACACCCTTTGGTGTCTCTATGACACTAATTTCCATCAGCTCCAATACTTGACTCTGAGAGACATTGTATAAAGAACAAGAATGTCTGTGTGTGGTGAGAGGGAGATGTGGGGGAGGTGTCAAACAAACATAGATTTACACCTAGGAGACTGTCGTTTGTGTCCTATGTGAAACCAAAAGTCACTGCTGTTTTAACATAACGTTACTCACGTCAATGCTGTTTTGATATAATATTAAGTAACTTTCATCTATCCATTATGTATATCTGTCATGTGATGTACTTACGTCATGTTACATACTTCTTTTAACTCAAAACTTTATGTTTTTTTGTTTTTGTTTTAATTTCATTTTGACAACTTTAACCATATGTTTCAGGGTCTGGCACCCAGGAGGCAGCTGTGCATCACCTACAGATGTTAAAGGGTGCATCTCCAACCCAGTCTCACTCCGATGTTGTTGAAATCTGGCACTGAGACAGTGACTTGCGGTGTCAGACTAAAGCATTGGTTTTTGATGAACTGGAATAAGAACAAGTTGCCTCATCATAGGGGGTCAGTGTAATTGCTGACTTAGTTGTTGAATGTCAACAACTAAACTGTATTTAGTTTCCCAGTTAGCCAGCTGATAAGGCTACATTCAGGAATCACCTGTGTTTGGTTTGAATTGACCTATGGCTAAGTCCCGCCCTCAAATGCGATGAGCCAACCACAGTGCGTATAGCCATTCCCATACACTCGGACACTCTCTGCCTGGACGTTCATTGAAATGCTTTACAGAAAGTCAGTTTTGTTAGGTTTTATGAGCTTTTTCTGAGATTTGAAGTTTAAAATGGTCAAACGGTGTGCATGGGGTACATGCAACTCCGACACAAGGTATCCTGAGAGGCTGGGCGACAAGGTGTATTTTTTACCCTTTCCTAAACCACATCTCAACCGAGGAAAGTGTTTCCTTTGGATAAAGTTGTGTGGTAACGTTAGACCACACAAGTCAACATCGTGTTTGAGGCAACATATTGTCACTTTGCTGGAAAGAAATATAAAGTTATCTTTAACATCTCTAGCTAACGTTAGCTAAAGTTAGCCTAACGTTAGCTCCTAGCTGCGTTGTTCATCATGTCACCTTGTTTGCTGGGAGTTCATTAGCCTATTTTGTTCTAGTTTTGTACTTTGGTGATCGTACATCATTGTTAGCTGTTGTCCAAAGGGCTCTAGTTAAGCTAACGTTAACTTCTGGAGCTTAGCTTCATTAACTTATCTGTAATTGCAAAGGTTGGCAAACGTTATGCTGAATGATTCAGTGTAAATACTGTAGCACCAAACTAACGGAGAGACACTCTTGGTAAAGATGGTAAAAAGGCCGTTATCCTTTTCTCATATTCTGAGCCAAAAACCTTAACTTCAGAGGCACTTTAACTTGTTGTCTTTGATGGCGACAGCAACCACATGCGGTTCACAAGCGTACACGGTGACCTGTAAATTATGGCTTGTAATTTAAGCTTTTCATCGACCTTCTCAACAATAAAATGATGAATATATCCCTCCAATGCGTAGTTTAGGTCCTTTTGGTTACTTCTCAATGACATCTGATCGTTATGTCCCCAAAAATCATCCATTGCCTCCTGCGAAATGCTGTGTACTTTGACACCTGCCATAGCGCCGGTCACTGTTGATATTTTGTCCGAGTGAGTGGAGGGGGGCGTGGCTTAGCCATAAGTCAATTGGAGGTTGATCAAGAGTTTTAGGAATTCAATGTGAGTTTTGGAGTGCTACTGTATACACCTCTGTGCCATCATTAGGCTCAGTGGCGGCTCCTACCAAATTTCTCAGGGGGGGCAATTGTTGTGATGATTCCTGAGGTGTCCCGTTCAATGGGTAAATTTGAATTAATTTGGCTCTACAATGACTGAACAATCCAATGTGGTCATCAACAGCACTTTTCATCAGTTTGCCCACATAAATACCTTTGAATGTAAACAGAGACCTGTTTTACCATTAATCTAATAAAAATCTGTTAATTAATCTGTATTTATAGTGTGATGGGATGACAGCACAATGATGTGTGTGATCACTGGAAAGCTCCGGTCCTGCGCTCCGGTTCCGCTGTTTCACGTGATATGCGTGGCTTCTCGCTAACGGTCGCGGAGAATATCCATAGAGAAGAACGGGTGTGAATTTGGACGCACTATGTGTCATTACTTTATAACCTATATGGTTAAAAAGCCTCTTGGATAAGCTGGAGACGATAGTCATGTTGATCTTGGATGTGACCGCTGCGCAGTGGCGCTGCCTCATGTGATGTCGGAATAATCGGAAAAATGAGTTTCCGACCGTAAAGCAATATTTCAGTGGAAACAGTTGACGACGTGTTTTTTAAACATTTTGAGTGATAAAATACAACACATCTTCTTTGTAATGTCCATGTTGTCTCCACATTAGGACTTAAACGCTCATGAACACACAATGAAGTAAGAACGACTTCCCAACTTGGGAAATCGGACCATCTGAGGAGCACATGAATGATACTTAGTGGTTTATGTATAACGAAAACACGCTGGGGCAAGTCCTCCCGGAACCCATAGAGATTGCATTGGAGTACCTGCATTTAGAAAAAAAAGCATTTTACATGGAGGTCTGTGAGAGTGAGTCGGAGAGATTTCCCGCCAGGCTGATATCGCCCCAAAGGGCCGGAACGTGACTTCACACTGCCTCTGATTGGATATTCAGAGGCAGGACGAGCTGTTTCAAGTGAAAATGATCAGAATAATTAATATATTGTGTGTATATATGACAATAATGATGATGATAATCATACATTTATTATCATCATCTTTCTTTTCTTTTGTGGCTCAAGGAGGGGCGGCGCCCTATCGCCCTCTATTGGCCAGCCGCCTCTGATTAGGCTAAGCTAGCTGCTGACGTTCAGTAGCCTGAATACCGATAATGGGGTGGCTGTGGCTCAGAGGTCGTCGATCATCGGTCCGATCCCCGGCTCCTCCAGTCTGCATGTCAAAGTATCTTTGAGCAAGATACTGGACCCCAAATTGCTCCCGATGATGCTTCCATTGGTGTGTGAGTGTGTTAAAAACTAGTGGTGGTGGCACCATGTAGTATGGTAGTCTCGGCCACCAGTGTATGAAAGATGTGTGTGAATGGGTGAATGTGACTCATAGTGTAAAAAGTGCTTGAGTGGTTGGGTGACTAGAAAGGTGCTATAGCCTATAAATGCAGGTCCATTTGCCACCTTCACACCATAGGCTGTTCTTGCTCTTCCAAAAATGATATAAGGAACATTTTAACAACAATCAGGGAAATATTCTCTCTTTATCTCAGACAAAGAGAGATTTTGGTTTGTGTACGGATGAAATAAACTAGATAACAGAACATATTAATGCGTATCTTAGATGTGATGTTAGACATGTTTTTGGACTTTTTGAGCCAGCTAGTTCCCTCTACTTCTACTCTATATGCTTAGCTAAGCTATTCAACTCCAAGCTCTAGCTTCATAATCACAGACATGAGAGTTGTTTCCATCCTGTCGTTCAACTCTCGATACATCTTTTAAACTAACCTGCCTGGCATTATTAATCATAAAACTTTCCCATTTTTATCTTTTAGAAACTAGGCTATTTGACTTGAAAGAGCCAGGAATAAAAGAATATCTGAAAGTGCTGTTATCTTGAAATTCTAGGCTACTGTAGCCTCATATCTGGGTTGTTTCACAAAGCTTGTTATTTGGGTATTGAAAATATGAAATTACCTTGCAAAGCAGGAGGGATGCTCTTGAGGTTTAAATTATGTGCAACAGCAACATAATACTATCATCACAAACAACGTTCCTGTTCCATTTTCATGTTCAAACTGTAAGCTTCTGTCCTACAGATCTCACTGAGCAATACAAGCACATTCCTGTGGTTTGATTAAAGCTACAGAGGCATGTAAGTGCTCTTTCCCTGTTATTGATTAAGGATAACAGGTAGGTGAACTGAACAGAATCGCCAAGTGGGTATACAGACACTAATGTAATCAGTGGGGCTATCAAGCAACCTTGGCAAGTGACCTTTTTTTCTTTTTAAATCTCCTTTCATGATTGGACATCCCACCATTTAATCTTAGCATTGATTAGCCTGTTCATTTATCCTAATCGGGCAAAATTAGCTTTCACTAAACTGAAGACCTGCAGAGAGAAATCATTCAAATGTAATCAAAGACACAGCTATTTTTTTGGTTGGTAACTCTGAGGCATTTACATTTAAGAATTTATCCAAGTTTACAATTAAATAAATTCAGATTTATTCATAAAAAATGTCAGACTACTTACACATCAAACCTTAGATTTTGTTTCTCTTCAAAGAAGAAATCCAGGACAAACTTCCTGACGAAATCTGGATTCCGAGTGTTATCGATTACCTCTGTCCTGCCAAACTACAAAAAGAGAAAAAAAAGTGATAATTGGTCATAATAGCAACATTGATTTAAGAGTCAATACATGCTATTAAGCCCACATAAAGAAAAATACACCACATTAAGACGTGAATAAAATTCATGAGATTCAGCAGCAACACATATTACCCTTCTAATATTTAATACAAGACTGGAATCCATAAATCCAAATCTCCTGTGCAAAAATAACACCACACTGTATGACATTGAAATTCACTGTGTTATGTGCTGAATCGTGTGTCCCCTGAGAAATCAGACAGCCATATTAGAGCTACAGTCGAATCACCTCTCTAACCTGCGAGCCCACAGAGTCCCAGGTCCAGCCTCCCTCCTGGGCCAGGCCTTCTCTCCATCACCCCGACAATCACATCGGTAATCCCCTCGGTGGACTCCCAGTCTCGCCTCCGTGGCTTGGCCCGACAGCACCATGTAATGAGCTATTGATCTTGGCACTGCTTCACCACAGTCACAATACCTCGATTCATGTCTTTAGTGCCCAGTGCACATAATCCGTGCTATCAACTGCGTCCCCAGCCTAGCCATGACTAAGGCCACGCAGGGGGGTGTAGTGGACCTCAGAACCTACCTGGCGTATCGACCCAGTGGGAAAATCCCATGACATTTCCTTGTATTGTTCTATTTTGGGGGCTGGAGGCCTTTGGTTTATAATCTCACTCAGGCGTGATTGGGTAATAGGTGCTGGGGCATGCGTGAAGGTTAGGGAATTGCTTTTTAACTGGTGGAGATATTTTTCATTGTCCTAGAGTAAGCAGAGCAGTTGGAAGGACAAGTACTGGTCATGGGCCAGGCTGGGCTGTACATAAGATTATGTAATGGGTCCGTTACAGATACCATGTACTTCTTTCAACTACCTCTAACTTTCCCCTTTCATTTACTGTTTCTAAATGCGAGGTATTGGGCACATTTTCAGGTTCAAACAAACAAACCAAAAAACACTTTATTTACCTCATACAGTCTGTGCTGAACACCTACTGTATAGTCATCCTCTGTCTCAAACATTATGTTTTAGCACTTGTGTCTTTAAGCCACCCCCAAAAAATGCCCAGTGCGCCCCGATTGCTCAGCAATTACGGGTCTTCGGTATCTGGGCTTTCAGCGTCTCTGCACCGTCATAACAGCTGTATAACTGCACTTTCTAAGATGAAAAGCCTCTAAACAAAAATCATCACAACCAGACATGTTCCAACAGGAATCTGATCTGATATTGGTGAGAAATTAAAACATCAGTAACTAAGGTTGCATGTTTCCCTGACATAAGCATATACCAGTGTAGGCTACTTAATGTAAATGAAATCTGTCACGAGCTGACATCAACTTATCTGGAAACTTCAGAACAGTGTGAATCATGAGGATTTTGTTTTACATATGTTTACCCCATTTTCTGAAACTTTAACCACCTTAAATACAAACATCCGTTATTATTATATTATTCATTACAAGGCTTAGTATCTCAGTAATTCTGAAGAGCAAACCATTGCTATAGATAACCGACCGTTGCTATGGATGCTTAGTGGAAGCAAAATAATCATTTTTAAATTTAATAAAAATCTATATTTTGTGTTAAATAATTGATATCTTGACTAAGTAGCAGTGTTAAAAACAAGTTAATGTACAGCAATAATTCAAGGGTCCTGCTCACCGTACGTTATCCCATAAACAGAGGTGGGACCAAGTCACTGTCTTGCAGATCACAAGTCTTAAGTCTTTGCACTCAAGTCCCAAATCAAGTCTCAAGTTAAAGCTAACAACTTAAAAGCTGAGTGCTAAGTTTTGGGTCCTAAACAAGTCATAACGTTCGCTTCATCAAATGTAATGCCATTTTGACAACAGAGTAATAAAACACATTTACAAATATCATGAATGCTTTTAAAAATTTGTAATTCTTCGTTAAAACAAGTGTGGCTGAACTTCAATCAATCAATCAATCTTTATTTATAAAGCACTTTTCATACATAAATGTAGCACAAAGTGCTTTACAAGGTTAAAAAGATAGATATTTAGCGGGATATAGTCTCCTGACACCAGGAGGGCTTTAGACACATATTTATACACAGCTAAAGATGTCAAACTACATTAGATAAAACGCTTTCCGTAAACCATATGCTGTAACAATCACCCCTGCACATGGGGGCAGATGTAACATTTGACATCTAGTTTTCAGTCAGTATTGTGACTCTAACATTATTTGTAAAAACAACTGATTGACTATTAACAAGTAGAACACAGGTTGCTTTAAGTTACCTGCATGAAAACTGTATCCAAATAGTTAGGGAGGTTTTTGAGTGATGACATTAAAACTAGGCATGTAACGATAACTACTTTAGTGTGTCCAGGAATAAGTGCAACAAACAGTGTTAGTGTAATTTTGAGACCATTTTATGCCACTGATAATATTAGAATAAAATTACATATTAATGCAAGTGCACCCTTTTAAATAGCAAATAACTTTAAATTCCTAAGAATATTCAGACATTGGAATTAGAAAATTAAAATACAAATTAACATATGTTTTTAAAAAGTAATTAACAAGAAAGTATATATAAAAATATATTGCCTTATTAGGAGTACCCCAAAATTACTCAGTTTAGAGACTTAAGACAAAATTTGGCAAACACTAAACTAAGAGATGCCTCTTGCAACTAATAGCCAAGATTAGCAATGCTCCAGGACCACTGCCATTCAGCATGTGTGGAGAGGATGGACAGCCTGGGAATCGGGCAGTTTGCTGGTGAATTAATGGAGTGGAGGGTGAAGTTGTTGGAGGAAAAAAAACTCCAAATGATGGACTTTTTGGCTCAGCCTCTGTAGAAGCATTCAGTGAGGTGTGTGTGTGTGTGTGTGTGTGTGTGTGTGTGTGTGGTGAGCGAGGAATGAGAGACGGTATGTCTGTACTCAGGAGAGGCAGGTGAGCTGGACGTCCGGTTAGCAGTAAACCATGAATGTGAGAGTGAATGTTCAGTGTAATCTACAGTTAGTCATATCTGCCAGACCACTGAAGCTATTGTAGCGTTGTGTAGAAAAATTGTTTTATGTGTTTTGTCACCTGAACAACTCTTCTGATTGGCCTTCAAACTATTTAGGATGAATACAATCAGCGGCCAACTGATCAGAGCACCCTCTGTGGGTGTTTAATTAATAATCCTTGCTCGTCACCCACTCTGGCTGCTTAAGTAGAGATAGCAAGTTAATTGCATATAGGGAGATTTTTATGTATTGTAACAGCAGTGCTAATCATTTGGCAGCGTCGGAGCACTGCTGCCAATTACATTAGGAGAAACACATTTCAGGAAATTAATTAAAATGTGCCACACTTTTTAAATAACATACCTTTTAATCTTTGGACTTGAGGAAAGGTAGCAAGTACTTTCAAGTCCGAAGTCACACGTCATTGTTTAAGTCCAAGTCGAGTTGCAAGTCTTTGTGATTTTTAGAAATCTGAAGTCATCAAATTTGTGACTCAGGTCTGACTCGAGTTCCAGTCATGTAATTTGAGTCCCCACTTCTGCCCATATATGACAGAAAATAAGGAAAAGCCTCCCCTTTAAGTAAACCTCTGAGCAGAAGAGGAACAATGCAGTGCACAAAAGAAGGATTTGTGTTTAAAGTTGTTTCCCATGTGCATATGCGCACAGTTGTTGTGTGTTGACTTGTAAAAGATTTGCATTCATTGTGTTCAGATAAATGAAATGGAGTTCATGCAGACCACAGTACAATAGCTACATGAGCAGAAAGCATTTTTGAACTGGTTCATTGTAGAGGTTTTACAGAGATTTGTAGCAGAGGAAATCTGCAGGTCTGGTGGGTCTTGTGGCTTCTTTGTGGGGTATTACAGTAAAACTCCAACAGCACAGCCAACCCCATAATATTCATTTTGTATGGTATAATAATTGGATAGCAATTTACTATTGGCTTTCAAAACTTGAGGTGGGTGGGTCATCTGTGTTCAACGCTGCAGAATGAGTGACCTGCACTGAACCTGCCAGTGTGTTATGCAGCATGACCTTGATAGAGTAGACTCAGATTCTTGAAAAGAACCCAGATTGAGATGTATTCAAACTCAGAGTAATATGAAAGGCGTATGAGAGATACAGCTAATAATTTTGATATTTTACTTTTATTTGACTCTTTTCTCTAACTATTAAACAGTCATTGTGACTAAATAAGCAAAAAGAGTACAAAATAAAATTAACAAAATTATCAGACCTGGTCACACCAGACTGTGCCACAGCAAAAAGCATCCATTTGCCAAATATTTTGTTCTAGAAGCCTGGTGACATGGGGACTAACCACAAGATAGGTTTGTGAACTTCTGCAGCTGATGAGCTAATAATCTCTATGAACAGATTCTGTGTGCATAATCTGTAGGTGACGGGACAAGATTTTGGTATCCAAAGTGTTCTGATTTTTGTGTGTAGCCTGAATAGTATTGACCGATCAAGTTTGGAGAACTTCAGTGTAAAGAGGTGGAACGCATTGACTGAAATGCAATATCAGAACCCAACTATCAACTGACGATGAGTTAGCTTTATATTAGCTTTTTAAAAATGTATCCATGTTTATATGCTGACAGGAGGACGTCTTGGCTCGGATATCCACTAGCTACACCTGATTACCTTTAAGGCCCCTAGAGCCTGATTGTCATCAGGCCGACAGGCAATGGCTTCTGAGATTGGTGAGATAACTGTTAACATGGTAGCCAGCCTGAATATGCTAACTCAGTCATAAAAGCTCCCAGAGCTTCTTCCTTTCATCTTTGTGCTGTGCTATTTACTCCCTCCCGGCATTTTGTTGTGGGGATTGTAAACTGTTCATTTAAATAAAGCGTGCTAACTAACAGTGGACTTGTCACTTAGCAACAGTTTAAAGTTTCCCCAAAAGACATATTTGTACCAATGACTCGGTCTGTCTCAGAAATGTGTGCAAATTATTTTGTTTTGTGAAGCATTTTATACTCCAATAGTGGAGGTTAAATAAAAGTTGATATTGAGAGAGCTAATAAGCTGCAATAGCTTCCCAAAATTGGACTCTACAGCTCTATGCTCTCTCAAAGTTCAGCAATATTGAGATAGTTTGCTTTTGGTCACTGCTGCAAATCTGTGTGTCATAGTTCACCAAAGTTGAAGTTGAACTTGCTCATATTTACTTCACCTCAGCAGGCAAATGGACTGATCAGTATTCCATTAAACATATCTTACTATATAATGACGAAAACTCTGTCTGTGTGTGTGTTCCACGTTTTTCTCCTCACTGTCTTGGTCAATCCATGTGAAATTTGGCACAGTGGTAGAGGGTCATGGGAGGATACGAATGAAGCAATATTACATCAATTGGCCAAAGGGGGGCGCTATAGCAACCG